AAAACAAAACAAAAACAAAAATAAGACAAAAAATGATTGCAAAAATTGGAGTCTGATACATCTTGAAAGGAGTTTGCCTGCATATATATCAAAGGGTAACAAGAAATAGAAAAAAAAAATGAGAACGAAGTAAAACTGAGGTGATAAGAAAAGCCAGTATATGGTAAGAGTTTTAAAAAATATACTTGACCTCTAAACACTAGCTAAACTATTTGTACTTGGATTATGATAGACCTCAGTGTCTAACAAAGAACAAAGGAACCATTTTGAGACTGTGGTTATAAAATGCCAGGTAAAGTATGAACACTTGAGGTTTTCAGTTGTTAGCCCTGTTGGTCCCAGGATATTAGAGAAACAAGGTGGATGAAGTAATATATTTTACTGGGCCAACTTCCATTGGGAAGAGAGTAAAGCTTGCCTTATGTCTCCTAGTCTCTCTACCGCCTGAGTCAGGAGATAACAGAAGATAGGACACTAGCTTACTGCAAGGCTGAGCACTAGGAATAAGGGAAGGGAAGAGTGGTAGAAAATAAAATGAACCAAGACTGATGTTTGTGTTGCAGATATTAGTTATGCTCTGTGCATATGAAACCCTCCTGCCATACTGACGTACAATTCATTTCCCAGTCAGGATGGACCCATGTTTAGCCTATTTGTATCAACAGACCTGCACTTAAATAACTCAAAGCATAATAAAAGCCAGGAAATTCAAAGTTAATGCTAACACTTGTGTCCTTAGTCAGCTATTAAGGAGAAGAGAAGCTGAATGGAACAAGTTAAGGAAGGATTCTACAACCTTTCATTGAGTAGCATTTATTTATGCAAGTGATCTCATTGAAGATTAATGGCACTATTTGGATGGCTAAGTGCCACACAATATGAATAAGTATTGCAGAATCAGGCCTTTGGTCCTTTGATTTATCTGGTTTTTATTAGTGTGACTGACATGTTTTCTAATCATAGTATTTAATAGACCGTGGATTTGTCTCTTTTCTTTAAATCTTTGTACACCCGCAAGAAACACATGTGGGATCTGGTTCCTCTGAGACTTTGGGAAATAGGCTAGTGTAGAGGGAGCTAATCAGGGAGAAGAATTCTATGGGAGCCGTAGGAATAACTGATGATTTTATTTGCTCATAATTAGGGCTACAGTAATACATCTGAGGAACAAGGAAAAATGAATGTTTAGTTTTATGTTCTTATGCATAATCACTTGCAGAAAAAAGGGTCACTCCTATCTCTCTCCAAATTTTCTTTCCTTTTGTTCCTGAGCTTCATAGTCCATGTTCTGTTTAAAACAAATGACTAAAATTTTGCAAGCCCCACATTAATTTGTCATCGTTTGTTGTCTTTGTTTATCAGAAACCTTAGATTTGAATAGCAGGATTACTGCATATTTGAGGTCAACTTTTATGTTTAGAGAAACCCAAAGGGTTACAGTATACACAGTAAGTGATATGGTTGATGATGGGCACAACTCTTGTTAAGTTTCTTTGTTTTATTTCTTAGTCTTTAACTTGTTGGATCTGACTCATCTCTCTATTACAGCAGTATTACCCTAGTGTATACACCTGCCTAAATCCTAGGACTTGTGATGAATCAATGTCCTGTATGCTGTGAGTGGTCATCTGAAAGTTTATGTCACTAAGCTACACTAATTCACACAGATTAATAGAAATATTTCTTAAAATGAATGAAATCAAAATACATTTCAAATTCCTTTGAAACTCTACATGAATTCAGTAAATGGCCCAAGGATTGTAAGAATGCTTTTGTTTGTACCCACAACCAGCTGCAAATGTGCCTTTAGATCATATTTCTACTGATTAATACCAGTGTGAGAGGAGAATCTGTCTCACTGATATTAAGAAGTCAGTCTGCCCTGCGGAAGAGTCAGTTAAGGGCCTGATCCAAAGACTGTTGAAATAAATGGGAAGAATCCCATTGACTTCAGTAGGCTTTGGATCAGGTCCTTACTTCATGCTTAGGTTTGCATCCTTACTTCCAATTCTTCCCCTTTCTGAAGAAAAAGTTCTAGAATCATTGGTGAATTCGCAAAACAGTAGGGCTGTTGAAAGTAGGAATAAAAGATCCTCCGGAAAAGGGCTTATTTTCCGGAGAATCACGTCTAGACTGGCGCTTTTCTCCGGCTTATCCCCAAGCCAGAAAAAAGCGGCAGCCATGTTAATACAAATACCGCGGGGGATATTTAAATCCCCCGCGGATTTTGCTATTCCGATGTGTCTAATCTGCATCCCTTTTCCGGAAAAGGGGTGCAGTGTAGACACAGCGTAGAAGGAGTATCATGTGTCCTGACTGAAAAAATGAGTATGCAATGATAAAAGTGGTAATACTCTGCCTGCTACAATTTTATGAGGAAATGGTTTCAGATAAACCCAACAAATTTCATACAATAAGTAGTTTATTACAAGAAAGACGAGCAAAGACATATCTATGTATACTGGTATTTCTCCCTGGGATGACTGAAACCCTAACCTGTGTTTTTATACACAGCAGTAGACTGCATTCCTAGCTAGAAACATTCAGTCCCATCTGGCAGATTCATTCCCAGTTAGATAATACCAGACGTATCTATGTAACATACAAGCTACTGTCAAATAGCAACGAGCCGTCTCCCAGAGACAGCTGTTTCACACAAGGGCTGCATTGTCTGAGAGAAGCTTGTATCATTTTACTTCAAGAGCTCAGGGAACAAGCATTCTGTCAGCTGCCATGGCATTGAAGAAACCTTGCTCACTGCAGATATTCATTATTTTGTTATCAGACCAAAAACACACTGAAGACTGGTCAGAGTTGAAGGTTGAAAACAAGAGCTGCATTCCTTGTTCTTATAATTTATCAATTACAAATCCCCTCCTTCTCTGCAGAGTGTGTGAGAGTGTGTGTATATGAAAGAGACATGATTTGCTTCTGAGTTTCCAACAACAAGCTTTTTGTTCTCAGCATGAGTGAACTGGCTTATGGTGGCCCTCGCCATATGCTTTTATTTGGCTTCAGGTAGAATAGGAAACTCTGTCCTGCAGTGGAATGTGAAACACTGTCCTCAGGAAGCAGCTGTCACATTCAAGAATCACAAGTGACATCACAAAGAACCCAGTAACTCACTGATGATTGTAGAACAAGATTGACCCCTTTAGCCCCTGTAACTTCTACCAAAATCAAGAACTGACAGTTAATAAAGAAGCAGATAAATAATCTGCAGGATATATAAAATGTAATTTGTACTGTATGTGGTGGCAATGGTAGAGCCTACGTAATTCCTGCTTTACTTGTCCCAAATTAGAACACTGATGGCTAAAAACGTAAAGGTGTTATAACTAAAAAGACAATGAAATATATCCACAAAGTTCTCACAATATTAGCCTTACTAAATTATCTTATTTTTCAGTACAACCCCTACATTCCAATTCATGGGTTTTATCATCTGCATACCTGCAAGAGATAATTCTTCCATTCTGGCAAGCATCCTGTGCATATAAAGACATTAAATATGAGAAAACCCTGGATCCAAACAGACTCAACAGCTGGGAAGTCTGGATTTGCTACTGGAAGTTGTGGATTGGCCTCCAGTTTTTTTGATAGGTTAGATGGGTAAGTTATATATCCTGTAGTTAAGGTTTTGGCAACATTTTATGTTATAAACCCATTTTAGATGCTTACTATCTTGCCAAATTATAACAATTTGGTCGGAAATTTTCCAGGGTTGTCTTATACATTGGGTTGAATAGTTTCAGCAATAATAGTTCAGTCCTTCTTAGAATGAGGCTAGTAAAAAAAAAATTGCAGTATGAATGTGCCAAATCTACAGGTTATGTGCCTTGTACTCACAATGTTATATAATATTTGCATATACAAAATAAGAGGCCACATCCTGAAAATCTGCTCAAGAGAATCAGTGCATTTATGTCAACTCTGAAAGTATATCTATATAATCTATAATAACTATACCTATACCTATATCTACACACACTTTCAGAATTGAAATAAATTATATGTTTATATATAATATGAGGAGCCTGCAATATCCAGAAGACCAGGAAAGAATACAACTGCGGGAGGAAGATGGGAGGCAGGAGTTGAAAAGAGAGGGATAGGGAGGAAGGGAGGGAGGAGTAGCTTGGCAAGGAAATTGAAAATGCTTCAGTTTTGATAAGCAACTGAAGAAGTGGGTGTCTTTTTAAATTGAACCTTTTGAAACTTATGAAGTTTGATCACCACTATTCAAAAACATGGGGAAACATAATATTGATAACTGACTTTTGTTCATTTGGTTAAGAGTCTAACTGTTAAAAAATGTGGAACTAAAAGATACTTGACAGTGAACATTTAAAATTGTATGTTGAACTGTTTCTGCTGCAAGTGGTGTTTATTGGTCCTTTGAAAAACCATCTTCAAAACTGTGGACAGTGTAAAAATTAATAATCGTGGTGCTTTAGTTGATCTGATTTTTGTGTTGATGTTAAATTCTGGATATACGGTAGTTAAAGATCAGTTGCAGTAAATTAGAAGTGCCACTCTGATCTAAGCTAAAGTTTTTCATATAAAGAGGAGCATTTACCTATAAAGCCATGACTCTTAACAGCATCATGTATGATAAACTCCCCTCCTCCCCAAATTAGCCATACACTGGGGATGTATATGTAAATAAGGCCTGTATCTGTTCTCTATACACATGTTCACAAGAAAGCTTATTTTCCATCTATAACCTTTTAGAAATTTAAATGGTATCCAAGGAAACTCTTATGTCCTGACTTTCAGAGCTGCTGAACATCTGCAGCTTCCTCCTTCAAATGAAGTTACTTGTACTGAGCACTTCTGATAATTAGGCGTATCATCTGATTAGTGTACAGATAAATGGCAAATGGCCTTTTCAATCCCCGTAGGAGTTGATGGAAAGACTCCTGCTGATGTCAACAGGCTTTCGATCAGGTCTTAAATGTCTGTATCTAGCAGTGATAGTATTGTAGTCAATTACTTACTCTCCTCAGGTAAGTTGTTTTCCTGTTCTTCTCTCTCCATCTGTTGACACCAGCCCTCCATACGATCTCTTTCCGCCTGAAGAAGCTTCAGAAACCAGTGCCCATCTCTGTGACAAACTGACCTTTGAACAGCCTCCAGAGGATCTTCAGTTATAGAATCAATCCAAGGATCCGGAGGGGGTAAAATTGAAGGATCAAAATCTGTATCAAAGTCGTCATCTACTGTACAGGCATGATAATGGTTTCCTGACCCCTGTATACTAACAGTGGAGGTGCTTGCATCTCGGGAATATTGTCTCGATATTTGCCCAGTGCATGTATTGTCCTCCTGAGGATCCACTGATATTTCAAAATTTTCATGGAAATCCAGGTCTGCTTGCACAGCTGCTGTTACACTATTAGATCGAGTAAACCTGCGGAAGCTTCAAAGAACATAAAAACCAAATGCGAAGTTAAAGAGATTTTCTTAAGACAAACATTCCAGTGATAAACTGGTAATACAGGAAAAGACAATAGTCTAAGATTCTGTCTCTGAGGGAATGGCTGTCCCTGCTACAGAATATAAATAAAAAGACCAATTTATCTTTTTCATAATATTTACCAGAATAGATAATTTTCTTAAAATAAACTCTCCGCCCCCCAATTTTGATTTGAACTTAACATTTGTGATGATTTTTGGATTGACAAGCCTGGAGTCTAGGCCAACTTTGTGTGTCCAATTAGACTAGACAGCTTAAAGGAGCCTGACTTTCTGAAAGTGTTGATCTTCCATTCTCTGAGTAAGATTTCCTTTCAGATTTCTCAAGTTGGACACCCACAAACAGAGGTAGTCACAATTATTAGTTTGGAGAATGTTGGCCTAAAGTTCTCTGCATTAAGCAGAGTGAGAAACTGTACTCCCCCAGTCAATATCATCTGTAGATGAGAGGGTAGGTCAGTGTCCATATATATTCAGTCCTTGCCTCTCTGCTGAGATTGCCAATAAGCGATTATCAGCAAGTTAATGACATAAAGCATTTTTATGAAGGAGGGGATAAGGAAAAGTATTTTCAACATAAATATTCTATATGTTAACTTCTAATTGATCTCAACCACAAATAGGTTAATTTACTTCTTCACAAGTCATTAGTGCCAGTTCTCAGAATTGCAATGCAAGTCATAAGAACATAAACATAAGAACATAAAAATGGCCACATTGGGTCAGTCCAAAGGTGCATCCAGCCTTCCAACAGTGGCCAATGCCAGATGCTCCAGAGGGAGTGGACAGAATAGGCAATCATCAAGTGATCCCTCTCCTGTCTCATCCAGGGGACAAGTCTTGCAATATTGCTTTTAAAAGGGATTCTGTGATTTTCTAATTTCCACGCTCAGTCTCACAATGTTCTGCCCATATCCACAGTGGCCACGGTCTCCCATTGCTGTTGATAGGACTAAAGCCACTGGCTACCCCTCTGCAAGATGGTCACTATGTCCTACGATTTGTAGATGACAGTGAGGCTTCCCTCAACAAATATGGCCTTCATCTCCTATTGTTTCTAATAGGACTGAAGCCAGGCAAATCTGGCTCTGAGGAAAGAAGACAGCCATTTAGTCAGAACATAAGGGGCAAACAGGAGACAGGCAAATATGAGAGATGTTAGGAACAGAGAGTGTGTTGAGGAAATAGAACAGGCAACTGTGGTGAGTCAGTGAAAGAGGCAGATTGAGGTTAAGTCTATACTACATAGTAGTGTTGGTAACGCAGGGCATGTGTAGCTACCTGCAGTGAAAAGCAGGCTGTGTTCACACTGTGGTGTTTAGCTACAGATGTCACCGAAAGACTCCAGTAGGCAGCAAGGAAAGGCTTCAGCTGCTCTTGCCACAGGAACCTTTTGCTGTGGGGAGGAAAAGGGTCTGGTGGGGAAAGGAAATGGGGAAAGCTTTTTGTTGCTGCTGTGGCAGGGAAATACTTCAATAGGAGGGAGGCAGAGGCGCACTACGTAGCTGAAAACAGCAGTGGGGCGAGGGAGGCAGAGAGCTGTGTAGGCTATGTACTCGAGAACACAGTCACAGCCTCCAAGCCTGTCTTTACCCGCCTAAGCATGCCCTGCCTGGGTACATTGCTATTTATACTCATGGTAGGTGGAGGGGAGGCTTGCGTGTATGTACACTCTGTGCTCCCAAAAGAAGCAAGAAGTGTAGACACCCCTTGAGTGGGGATTCAGGACAGCCTAGGGGGCAGGAGGAAGAGAGAGAGTACAGGAGAGTGTGAGGGAGAAGAGGCAAACTGAAGGGAACAATGAGAAGTGTCATGGGCAGGCGACAGACTGAACAAGTGTGGCAGGAAGTAACTGAGTGTGTTGCAAGAGAATGTGGTAGAATGGCAGAGATGGTACAGATATGGGATTGCAGATTGTGAAGAGAAATGGAAGGAAATACCGGGGTCAAGTGAATGTGATGAATAGGTGAGGGCTGGAGAGCTGTGTGGGAGCGCAGAGGAAGAAACTAGGGGTACGTCTAGACTGCAAGGCTCCGGTATCCCAAAATAGCTCCCCCGCGTCCAAGGAACGTGTCTGCAATTTTGAAATAATTTTCAAAATAATAGATGTGCTATTTTGGCATCCCTCTAAACCTCATTCCATAGTGCTTTATTTCTAAATTTGGTGCTGTGGAGATGCACCAAATTTCAAAATAGCCTATTTCGAAATAAAATCGAAATAAGAAACACAATTGGCGTAGCACAAATTGTGTATCTATTTTGATTTTAGAGTACAGTCTAGACATGCCCTAACTGGGAGGGCTGCCTAGCCTACTTCTTTAGGGAGGAGAACAGAGAGAGGCAAAATGATGAAATAACTAACAAGGATTAAATTAACCCAATTAAGGCCCATCTACCTGCAGTGAAAAGAGGCCATTCATATCTTTCCACACTACTAAAGCAGGCTGTCTGCAGTAGTGTCTGCCTAAATCTACATTAGTTTACATTTGGTTCACAATCTGACAATCACCTCTGCAGCCCTAAGGCTCTAGGACCGGATCCCTCATGACATCCTGGCTGTTTTGCACTGCTCCAGTGATGCAAAGTTGCCATAGAACCTCCCCCGCCCACTTAATTATCCAGGGTTAAGCCAGGTGTGCAGCTGCTCTGTTGTGGGAGAAGTGCAAAGCTGCAAGAGTATACTGTTGAATCCGGGGGCGCTGGAAAAATTTTTCTAGTGGGAATGTTGTCAGCCACTGAATCAATCTGTAATCCCTGTATATAATGGAAACCACCCCCTGCACCTATAGTTACAGCACTTATGGGTGAATCCAGCCCTTAATTTTGTTTAAGGCAAACATAGATTCTTCAGTACAAGGTGACAATTGCCTCCTCCTTCTCAGACCCTTTCGAAGACAGTATCTGCTTTCCAAGCTCCTGTCAGCTAGCCCAGTTTGATCCCTACCCTGGGAAGACCAAAACTCTATTTTCAAGCCTAGCCTTGCAATGATGAGCGCTATGCTGGATTCAGAGCTCATTTTCATTTGCTTTCATTTACATTGTCGTCTTATGCCACTGAAGAATCAGTCCAGATTTAACTGAGAGTAAAATCTGGTCAAGTGTCATCATTTAATAGTGACTATCTAGGCAAGAAACCTCACTGAGACTTCAAAGAGGATCCCCTTTCATCCGACTGGAGCAGCAGAAGAATGGCTATTGATATGAAGCTTTGAGAGAGAAAATACAAGGCAAAATGGGAGATGGGAGGGGCTTCTCAATACTACAACAGACCCAGGGATTCTGAAGGAAATTGTTAATGGTACCCATCTCCTACCCAGGAAAACAAATGTGTCATATCTGCACCTGTGAAGCTTGTTATAATTATAGAGACCTTTTAAAACCATACAATAATGTTTTAAATGAGGCAGCTGTGCTTTGTGCACTTGCTTCGAAATGGTCTGTAAGGTAATTGTTAAAGTCAGTTATTCAGTTATACTTTCACATGACAGGCTCCATTTGCACTGAAACAATACAGTCTGATGTAGACAGATTTCTTCAGTTTTACGTTGTTTATTTATTCTTTAATTAGCAAAACTCTTCCTCTCCACTATCTCACTTTATATTTCTTATTATTCCCTTCTTCTAGAATGGCCACCAACATAAATATATGCATAAACCCCTTCCCCCCATACAGAGTCCCCTTTTAGTTGTTCAGTCAGCATCCACAGCTAGCAGGAAAACCAAAAAATAATACATTCCTCCTCTAATGACAATTTATATAATAGGACAGCAGTCCTGGGGGAAAGCAATTCCTTTAATATGGACAGAGCTTTTTCTCCATGCCTCTCATGAGGTTGCTTGTGATTTTACCACAATCTGTGTGTCTTAGGACTTATCTGCACTTACAGCAATGCATCAGTGCCACTGTAATACTTAGTGAAGATGCTCCTATGCCCACAGGATAACGTCTCCCATCAGTATAAGTATTCCCCGTCCCCACTGAAAGACTAGTAAAGACCCACTAAATCAACCACACAACATTCTCATGTTGACTCAGATACCCCAGCAGAACAAGATGAGAAAGGGGATTTGACAGAGCTTTTCCTGTTGACCCCTCCAATGTGGACCCTGAGGTAAGTAGATCTAAGTTATGTCTGTCCTTGTAGTGTAGACCTGCTCTTAGATGCCAATATGCTTCTGCCTTAGCATCGGTGTGAATGAACTGAATGTCTATTTGAACTGCTGCAGTTAATATTCTGGCTTTACACAACAAATCACACATGTGAAAACATCAAGCTTTGCTTACCCAGATGATGTATTGCTAGAGACATCTTTTAGGAGTACATCCTTAGTGTTTTCAATATGAGCTATTGCCACCAAAGACAGACTTTGCTCAACATATGACAGAGAATTGCTGAGTTTTGCTTATCTTTTAAGAATCTATACTATAGTATCCTTCGTGCTTGCATAACAAACTATTTTTGGCCCTGAACCGAGTAAAGATATTTGCCTTCAAAAGAAAAATGACTTTTTTCAATATAGTTTACAGCATCAGCTTAGAATTAAATACAGGCAGTCCCCGGGTTCCATGGATCCGACTTACATCGGATCCCTACTTACAAATGGGGTGAGGCAACCCCGCACTAGATGCTTCCCCCCAGCAGACCGGGGAGACGCGAAGCTAGCGCCCCCCCCCAGCAGACCAGGGAGACGCAGAGCGGCTTTTCTCAGCAGACACCTCAGCTTGAGAATAAAGGACTGAGGTTAGTGAGGTGTGGGAGAATAAAACTGAGCTCTGGAGAAATGTTTGGCTAGAGTTTCCCCTACAATATGTACCAGTTCCGACTTACATACAAATTCAACTTAAGAACAAACCTACAGTCCCTATCTTGTACGTAACCCGGGGACTGCCTGTAACTCAAAGATTGTGTCTATACCTAAACTCTATCGCTTCAGTGTAGACAC